CTGCCAACCTAGCAGTTTGAAAGCACTTAAAAATGCAAGTAGAAAAATAGGAACCACCTTTGGTTAGAAGGTAACAGCGTTCCATGTGCCTTTGGCATTTAGTCATGCCGGCCACATGACCACGTCTTTGGACAGCGCTGGCTCTTTGGCTTTGAAACGGAGATGGCGCACCGCCCCCTAGAGTCGGGAACGACTAGCACATATGTGCGAGGGGAACCTTTTATCTTTAAGCTTGTATAGGAGCACCAGAAAAAAATTGGAATTATATTAAAAATTATTTGAGAGCAGTGTGCCCCATCTACTTAGATGCCCCACCCTAAAAGAACCCTCTTCAGATAATCCTCGACTTGTGACCACAATTGATCCCAACATTTCTGTCGCTGTGAGAACTTTGTGATGTGAGTTTTGCTCCATTTCACCATCTTTCCTGCCACGTTTGTTAAGTGAATCGTGGCAGCTGTTCAATTAGTAAAATGGCTGTTAAGTGGATCTGGCTTCCCCATGGACTTTGCTTGTCTGAAGGTCGCAAAAGGTGACCACACAACCCCAGGACATGGCAATTGTCTGAAATATGAACCGGTTATCAAGCATCTGAAGGTAAATCAGGTGACCTTGGGGATGGATGCTCGCAACGATCGTAAGTGTGAAAAATACCGTATATTCCGCCGTATAAGGCGACTGGGCGTATAAGACGACCCTCTACTTTCAGGCGCCCGCAAGCCGGCTGAAGGCCTCCTGGCTGCTGGGCTTTCATAGTTTGAGCTCAGCGCCTTTCTCCTCCAGACCTCCAGCCAGACTTTACTAAGCCATCCCAGCACTCATCCATCCACGTGCCCAGGTGAGGAGCGCCGAGGTTATCGATTGAAAGTCCTGCGTCTGCGCTGGGGGCGGCACGGCTTTTTGCTTGGAGGCGCTGCTTTTTTGTTTGTTTTGGTTTTTTGGTTATACCCGGCGTATAAGACGCCCCCCGATTTTTGAAATAATTTTTTGGGGTTAAAAAGTCATGTTATACGCCAGAAAATACGGTAGTCATAAAATCACTTTTTTCAGTGTGTCATTCTTACTTTGAATGGTCACTAAATGAACTGTTGTTAAGTCGAGGACGTACATCTTAGGGTACATCAGTGAAGAAGGGTGTGCTATATATACGTATATATACCTTTTGCTTCTTTGAAATCCATTTTCTCCGAGCCTTTTTTTTTCTTATTCGCGTTATCTTCTGGCAGGCGATAAACTCTGCTCCGAGCATTCAGAAACATTGATGTACTTGAATCCNTTACCGAATGAGTTTTTCAAAAGCTTCCTTCTCTTTCCTTAGCGTGGTCAGGTAGCGCTGTTCTTCCGTCGATCCTCCGTAGATCAGGAAGTAAACCCTGCAAGGCAAGACAGGGAAACTTTTTTTTAAATCCAAAAGATGCCGGCTGGATGGCAAACGCACTCCAACCTGGCTCGCCAAACAAGCCACGACGGCCAGCCACATTCATAACGCTAACAACCCATTAATCATTGTCTCATGTATCCCAACACCAAAGGCTACTAAATAATCACCGGGTTAAGGCGAAATCCAGCTAATCTGTATCCCGGTGGTTTCCTGAAGATTAAAATGATAAATAAAATAAAATAAATATGGCCTCAGTAGCACCTTCCCAATTCTCTGCAGATGTGTCATAACCTCCTTGGCTTGAGCCAGCCAAGATCTGGGTTCTCTGAGCAACAAGCAAGTTTTCCGCTTTAATAAGAATTAAAATGAAGAATCTCCTAATTAATAAGAATTAAACCCTGTGATTCATTCTGTAGGCAGGAGAGGCCCTGGTCAGATTTCACCACCTACATCTCCTTCCTCGTTATAAGACCCTGGATAAATACCGCAATATGACTGCAGGCACGTATTCATTTCTCCAGTCTAAATCCAGTTGGGTCTATTTTTTTTTAAAGAAAGAAATGGTGTTACTTTTATAAATAGAAGACAATATGTGTAGCTCAGGGTTGAACTGGGGCATCCTTGGCACTCTCTAAGCTTGGTTGTTTTGTGGAGGACGTTTCATGGCCCCACTAGGTAACATCATCAGAACTACAGGGAGAGGAGTTTGCTCTCTGTTTATACAGTGGTTTGCCCTGTTAACTGTTGGTGGGGATGTTCTCGGCGGCTTCTTGATTAAGCTTTCTTTTACAGCATTGTTAGCACTCTTAATCCCACTAATTGGGAAATGAAATGTCTGCAAGAAAACCACCAAGCTCAGATTGGTAGAAAAACTCAGAATGTAGAGATTCTCAGTCCAGGAGTGAAATCCAGCAGGTTCTGACAGGTTCTGGAGAACCGGTAGCAGAAATTTTGAGTAGTTCGGAGAACCGGCAAATACCACCTCTGGCTGGCCCCAGAGTCGGGTGGGAATGGAGATTTTGCAATATCCTTCCCCTGGAGTGGGAGGAAATGGAAATTTTGCAATATCCTTCCCCT